GAAGCAGGAGAAACAAGAAGAAAAGGAAAAAGAAGAAAAGAAAAAAGACGAGTTGAGTGATAACAAAATATCAGAAAGTATTGAAGGAGATTTCGATCAAACTCAATCCAAAGATATGCCGAAAGCTGACATTGTACCTCCAAAAGAAGAAGAAGAAGATTGTGATGAGGAAGACGGAAGTGGAGAAGAGGAAAAAGAAGAGGAATCCGGAGAAAAGATAACACCTGAGAAGGAAGATAAGATCAAGGAGTTCTTGGGTGTTTTAAGACTTTTCCTGGATCGTGCTGAGCATGGAGATCTGAGGTTTGTATACTTTGCTTGATTGTGAGGAACTTTAATGTTTTTAAGAAAACTTCTTGATGATCAGAGTGGAAAAACTCTTCTGGAAAGAATGAAAAATGCAGTTAGAGAAGCTAACAAAAGGGAATTCGAAATGCTGGAGAAACTGGAACTTTTGAAGAAGAATGGAGAGAAAGATGATTTGACGAAGACACTGAAAAAGGATCAAATGAGCACTGAGGAACAAAAAGATTTGTACAAGAAGATCAGTTCGGCAGTTATGAAAGCAGCCAAACTGCACAAAATTGAGGACAAAGTTCAGGATGGTGAGACATGACCATTTTTAGAATGGTCCTTTTTAATTGCATTATACTGTATGAATCATATCATTCTTACGAATTCCAGAACAAGCGATGGAAAAGTTCAACATCGCCAAAGAGAAAGCTGATTCAGATGAGGATTCAGAGGGAACGTTGGAGGTGCTGAAATCTGCAAGAGAGGGTAAAGCTGAAAAGAAAGAGAAGGTTGGCGACGATGATTACTATGGGGATTATTTGGATGAGACCAATGTGATCAAGGTTCAGAATCGAGAGGAAAAGGAGAATTCGGCAGAGGAGAAGACAAGTGAGGATGAGAAGGAGAAGACGACAGTCGCTGTAGTTCATGACCAGAATAATGAAGTAACGAAGGAAGATGAGAAGGAATCTGCTGTGAAGGAAGAAGCCAAAGAGACATCAGTTGCTAATGAATCAGAGAAAAAAGTGGAAGAGGAAGTTCAAACCGAGAAGAAGGAAGAAGCAACAACGACTGCAGAAGAATCAAAGAAGGCCGAAGAGAAAGTAACTGAAGAAAAAGAAGAGGGATCTGCTGTTGAAGAATCATCTGGTACCTCCTCCTCCAAACCAGCTGAGGCTGAAGAAGATGAAGCTGAATTGGAAGCTTCAGGACAAGAAGAAGTCTCCACTACTACAGAGTCTACAACAGTTGCCACTAAAGAAGTTCCAAGCGAGGAGATTGAGAAGACTGCAAAACTTGAGGCTAAACAACTGACTGAGGATGAGCCAGTAACCGAGGAAACAAAGAAAGATACGACTGCTTCGACTTCATCTGAACCATCTTCTACTTCTTCTTCGTCTACTGTTGAATCCACCACAGAAATTACTACTACACCAGTTACGACAACACAGCCAGTCACAGTTTCTGTGAAGAAAGTGAGCCCAGAAGAGATAGAAAAACTCTCAAAAATGGAAGCAACTGAGAAAGTAACCCTTCTTCCACCACTCCCAACATTCACCTTCCCAACCTTGGATCCCTTCACTTTTCCAACACTTCCGACACTTGCAACAACGAAACCAACTCCAGCACCAAAAGTTCCAACTCTAGAAGAAATTTTAGGAAACTTGAACGACCAATTCAAGAAACTTTTATCGCCACCAAAGCCTTTACCACCAAAGTAACTTTTCTCAATTGATGATCTGAGTGATTCATCTTCTTTCTGCTCTAGAATATGGGTATTCTTTGTTAATATTCTATGGAATAACTTGGATAATAATTTATTATGTTCCTTAATAAAACATCGTTATTTCTTTTACCTGTAGTTTTCTTTTTCCGGTTGTATTGCTTTCACAAACGCTAGCGGCCGCCGACATTCCACTCTCACTAGCCGTACACTTTTATACGCACACACAACTGCTGCCAAGTAATGCTGTCGTAGCGCAGGCGGTTAGCGTGGTGCACGCTAAATTACTGCGAGTGCTCGACTCCAAGCCATGATGATTTTATAGTTCAGCTAATCTACGGATTTGATGATAAATTTCGCCCCTATCAGAGCTTTCTTTTTTAATTTTTGGAATAATTGTGATAATCGAAATGGGGAAGAACAGCTTTATTACAGACATCGTTAGCTTTGCGAATTAACCATTTAAGACAAGACAAATTTTAAAATTTCGATGCAACAAGTTTGGATTTCTTATAAATAATTGAGCTTTCACGAGTGTACGAGAAGTCGAGGTTAATTTGATCACGGTGCAGGTCCCTATTGTATTCGGTATATCCACAGAATGGAACAATATCGAGGCATTCGAGATCCAGATTACGGTCAGAGATCCTATAAAACGAGAAGCTTTTATAAAGCGAAAGATTTTATATCAGCTTACGTTTCATTTACAATTTGTTCAACAGAAGTTCCGTCCCGAAGGAAGAGATCACCCTTTGTTGGGATGTCTTTGGATCTTCTTTCTCTCTCAAAATGAACGAGCGTTCCGGTTGGTAGAAGTTGGCGAATAACTTCAACCCTAGAGTAATGAATGAAGTCGAAGGCTGCCAAAGAGACGAGTGTAAGCTGAGGTTCACTATTGACCGGTTCCTCGTTTGGCAAACTGAACACTTCTGATTTCGCGATTTCGATATTAATTCCATAGTCCACGAGCAGCAGGTTCAATGAGTGATCATTTATTCTATAGATAGCGGCTCGTTTCAGAATTCCTTCGTGAAGGACAGCACACGATGTTCCAAATACCATCCATTTCTCCGGAAGCTGTTTAAGGGAATGTTTTCTATATGTTTCGATTTCTCTTCTTTTCTGACGCATATCATCGTTTGTCAGGAACACCAATCGCTCATTTTCCACTCGTTCTATCTGAAAAATTGTTTTAGTTTAATAACAGCTTTTTGTGTTATTTTGTTTCAGCCGAATTTTGAATTCTAAACGCAAACCTGAAAATTCTCATCGACTACTCGAAAAACTTTAGTCGCTGGTGAGAATGATCTAAGAAAACAATCAGAATCTTCTTGAAAGTTCCAACCATCATCTCCGTCCTCCTCATCTCCAATGAAATCATCGGAGTCGGCTCCAGAATCGTCGTTTTCGTCACTTTCAACTCCATTTTCACGATTCAGTTCTCTTGCAATAACTTTTGGAGGCCAAATACCTTCTACTGAAGGCAACCCGTGCCGGGGAACAAGAAGAAATGAGCAGACATTCAATAATTCGTATTTTGGATGAAACATATTGACTTCATATGGTTCAACAGTTGATATAATCTGACAACGAGTCAAGTAATTGAGGTCTTTAACAACGTATCGAAAGCGATCCACTTTATCGTAGTCCATGTGTTGAATGAAAGCACCTGTAAACGATTTCAAAAATTAGTTTAATTAATTAGTTTAAAAATTTCATCGATGTGTTTCGCTTATTTAATTGTTCCCAATCATCGTTAGGTTTTTCACATATTATGTGTATTTTTCCTCTACTTATCACTTCCAGCGGTGGTCGGAACTAATTTCGGACTGGAATTTTCTTCCCGTTTTTTGGGTGTACGACGAATTCGAACGTTTTCAAAATCGAACAGACCTAAAGTCGAACTGATTCAAATCAGAACAGTGTCTTTCTCGAACAAGTATCAAAACAGAACAAGGACAGAATCGAACTGTTCTAATTCGAACTGTCCCAATTTGCACGGCGAGTTTTTCACTACCGCTGCTTCATCTTTGGAATTTTTTTCTCGAATTCTAGTCCATTACTTTTTTTTCTGTTCCATAAATTCTTAGTAAATTTTATGAAGAATATATAGTAAAAAAATGAATCAGATTTTTTTTTGTCTGTTGTACTTTAAAACGTCGCAGACTGTTTTCCTTCGGTAGTGAAAAACTCACCGTGCAAATTGGAACGCTGTTAGCCGCCGAGCGCGCTTGCATTATTTTTCTTTTCTCATTGTTTTCTTCGCAAATTTTGAATTTGATCGAGAATTGAGACCTCGGAAATTCCGGGAAAT